GTTTAGATTTATTTCAGGAACAATTCTATTTAGACCTTCAACTCTAACTTAAAAATATTGCTTGGTCATGTATAAAGGCAAGTTTACTTTTGATTCAATGCAACAATTATTATGAATTTGTAGATATCTGAAGTCACACTCTAAAAAACACTCGCAAGAAATATAGAAAAATATTACTACTTGCATAAGAATTCAGAGAACCTGTGAGTAGCGATTCAGACTTTCCAAATCTGTAATTTTCCCTTCGATTGTTAGGCCTTTTGCAATTTCAAAAACCTAGAACATGTATTTGCATAACAAATATAAAATAAATAAAAAAACTACAGAATGATCAAAAAAAATTAAAAAAAAAAAAACTACTGAAAGATCAAAAAATCAAAACTAACACATACATATTTAGAGAGACAAACCTTGAGTTACTCCTCCAAACCTTCAATTTCTCTGTTGTTCGCAGGAATATTGGAAAGAACCGTCACTCCTAACTACTTCAATTAGGCGATCAGATGATATATGAAAATCTTGGTGTCAGACTTCACGCTTTTTAGTGCTTTATTACTACTATATAAATGATATGATTGTTTCACATAATGGACTGATTAAATTTCATTAATTAGTTTTAATTTGAACTTGAAATTTTGGTAATTTAGTTAGGTAAAGTTACAAGCAAGACCTATTGACCGCATCTCTAGATTTAGATCACTGACCTTGTGCAACTCTGCATATATCAGAGCCTAGGGTTCTGGTCCTTATCCCACCATGGCATATATGGGAACTCTAATTTGTTATCATGGTGATGATTCAAATGAGCACTTGTTCTGTCATTGTGGATATGCTTCAGAAATCTGGAGAGGAGTGTTTGATCTACTGCAAATTCAAGGGCCAAAGTTTTCAAGTCTGGATCACATTGTTGATTGGTTTTTGAAGAATACTGAGTCCAAGTCTTTCAAGTCTAAAATTTTTAATGGTATTTTCCCAGTTACCCTTTGGAAGCTATGCTTTATACAGGATCACAAGATCAGAGCTCACATGCAGTACAAGTTATTATTTGGGATTTTATTACATATCTAAATATTAGTTTAGCCGATTTAATGATTGTTTTTGGGTTGTAATTTTCAGATGATGTTTCTCTGAAATTGGAATTTGTTCCTTTTTCAGTTTGTTTTTATTTTTTTATTTTTTGGAGATGAGTCTCCTTTTGTAGTTGTACTATTTTGAATATTTCTATAAAATACCCCATCAGGAAAAAAATATATATATATAACACAGGCTTCATTTTGCACAAAAATTGCCAACCCAAGTCCTATTTACCTAACAAAGATAGTCGCATACCAATACAAATAATAAATCAATTGTTAACTGCTGCAACTGCTATTTCTGTTTTGGCTAATGGTAATATATTTCTTTTCATGTTTTCCTAAAAGCCTGGTAATCATTAAGCAATGATAAAAGTGACTCGTTTTACTTTATATCTGCATCCCCAATCTCTAACACACACCAAGGATTCTAATTTAAAATTCAAGCAGGTAATTAAGAAAAATACACGTGTACTTAAAACTACAATCGGTATCCCCGTAGTTCATAGCCATGGATACCGAGCGTCAAGTTCTCTTAGCTGTCTAACTCCTCAGGCTTTAGAAATAACAACTCATTCATAAAATTGTATCAACTACTATAGAATAATCAAACACACTCCAGAGTTCCTAAAACAATGTGAGTTACTCATGGTACTATGTCAATCACAAGGTATGGATAGTAAAAAGGTTCCTCTTCTGACAAAGTAGTAGCTATTGGAGACTCGGAGGTACAACCAAAGCAGAAGTATCTATAGGTGCAAGCATCTGCCTTTAAGAACTAAACTACTAGTGGGACTACAAAAATCTTACTTTTTCTTACCATGGAAAAGATGTTGATGGTCATATATGCTAATTTATTCAACCTTTGACGTCAAAGGAAGGAAGGTAGATGGGTAATGGTAGAGAAGTTTTTAAGAAGAGACAAGAGTATAAATCATATATGCAACTGAAATGTATGAGGACCTTTATTGGCAAACTCATGTGACCTTTATTGGCAAACTCATGTGATCTAATATAGGAAGGGGGTTCTGAAGGTCGCAGTGCATGTATTACTATTTGATTACTTATTAAGTAGACTGGATAACATTTCCTTCTCAAGTATGGTTTCTCTTAAAAAGAAAGCTATAAAAGTTTGATTTTGAGTTTAACAAATACATTAGTGCTTTTTTTTTTTTTTTTTTTTTTTTTTTTTTTTTTTTTCAGGCAAATTTATTCAAGTTGGCATTGGACTAACTTCTGCACCACTTCATGTAATTCTGCTATATGGGTGAAACATTATAGTTAGTCAAACATTTTATAGCTACTCTTTCTTATCTCTATAAATTCTTCAACTAATGGCAAACATCATTATGTTCCACTTAGAAATTCAGAATCATTTATTAATAAAATTAACTACCAATTTTATAAATTACTCTCCTTCTAAAAACTTTTCATTGTACGACTCTCAAAAGGTAGTTGAATGAATAAGAGTCTCTAGGTCACACTTCAGAGGTCTTGAGTTCGACTCCAAGAGGCATCAAACCTTTCTCTTGCGTTTACCCAATACCCTTCACTAGGGTGGTTGTGGGAATCCGAGGATATCAATCCCAAACCCCTGTTAAAAAAAGTAAAAATAAATAAATAAATAAATATCATTTGTGTCATCTTGAGTGGCCAAATTTTCCAAATTTAATTGCAAATAAGAACTTTGCATTGCATTTTATGTCTCAAGAAAAAGGATGATGCATTAGTAGTTGACAACTAGACCCATATATATGAATAAGAATTAGGATAGTTTCCAATTGAATTCAAAAGTGTTCCGCAAGAAATTATAGCCTAGATCAAGTAGAATCGCCATACAATATTCGTGTAGCCAAATCAAAATGATGGGGAAAAGCTTTGTTATAAAGTACTAAGAAATGAGATAAGATTTTGTGCGAGAAAGTGAAACAAACATTTGTTTCTCAAAGTCGCATGCTAAAAATGTACATCTACTTATGGAACCAAATATAGCACTGTTTTAAGGGTTACATTAACTACAATAAGGGTTCTCAATTAAATAAAAAATAAAAAATCCAATCATTATCCATTTATAGTATCATAAATTTGATCTCCAAATTGATAACTGCACACATCATATATGGTTGGCCTCCTTGCCTTCAAAACACAAGTAATATAGCACTGTTTTAAGGGTTGCAGTAACTACAATAAGGGTTCTCAATTAAAAAAAAAAAAAAAAAATCCAGTCATTATCCTTTTATAGTATCATAAATTTGATCTCCAAATTGGTAACTGCACACATCATATATGGTTGGCCTCCTTGCCCTTGCCTTGCCCTTGCCCTTGCCTTCAAAACACAAGTCCTAACAAACAAGAAATCCTTAATACTTCTATAGGCACCTCTAATACTTCTATAGTCCACATTTTATTCCACATGTCTCAATGTTATCCACACAATCAAAATCAAACCCAAATTCATACTATAAAATTCCCGTCATTCATGCCATCCACAAACTTCAATCCAAGTCTAACTTCTAACCCACAAATCAAATTAAGTACACATATATTTGAAGGGGAAAAAAAAAAAAAAAAAGAACATTTTCTTGAACCAAATAAACACGTACATATGAGGGCATATATAAACATATATGTAAAGATACATACAATGAAAGCAAGAATACCTTGAGTGAGAAATTGAGAGCAACAGAGGGGTAGTAGCAAATAAAACTACTACCGTTGCCTCTCCATAGAGAGAGAATGCCTTCTTCTTTGACAGTTCGAACAATACAATCAAACATTCCCTTGAATCTCCTGTGTGGGCCAGACATAATCGCTATGTTGCTCTCTTGGGTCTGCAACAGAAGCTTTGCCCTCTCGATTGGGGCCACAATCGTGTGCACCACACCCCCATCGCAGCTCCCGCCATGAGATCCCTGTGGAAATTCGTCCACCAATTCGACTGGTCTTAGTGTGACCCTAAATTAGGGTTTTGAATAGCTGATATCCTCTCCCTCCTCTTCCCCCTCCATCGCCTCCTCTGCCCCACCCCCTCCCCCCTCTCTAAAACAACACCGACGCACACAAACACAAACACACTCTTTTGGTCGGAATAGCACTGGCGTTGGTTAAAGAGGTCTGAAAATTTGGCAAGCTAGAGGAGGAAACAAAATAAAAAGAAAATAGCGGGTAATTGAAATTTCAAATGATCAGGATTGGTTGGCAATTGTAAATACATAAAAGTCATGTTTGGCTGGCAATTGTAAATTTAGGCCATGCTTGGAATGGATTTATGAAAACTATTCTTAAAAACAGTTCTCAAGAACAATTTTCAGAGAACAGTTTTTAGTTTTTTCAGATTTCAAGCCTGCTTGGTTAAGAGAATTTACAAAACAGTTTCGGGAAAACAAAAACTCATAAAACTACTTGGTTGTATGAGTTTTTGAAAATAATTTTCTGAACTAAGAAAATAAATAAAAATATTATTGTACCTCACTCTTTTATTTCTTTAATTTATGATATTAATTATTAATGTATGTATATATATATATATATTTAAATAAGTGTTGGAGGTGAATTTATTTTAGCTAGTATTCATAACTTAATAAAAGTTGCACAAATACAATATATCAAGTCTAATCAAAATTTCACTAAATTTATATACAATAAAAGAGTTACAGGAATTACTACAAGTGTCATATGTACTTTTAGTTGTACAAACATTAATTTTAGTCATACATAACCAAAACAAAATATTAGCTAATCAAAGTAAAACATTCGAGAATTATAAAAGTAACCTCATCTGACATTGCCTTTGAATGATGCCCACATTTCATTCTTCAGATGAGTTCTAAGGGCTCCCTTTAGTACATTTCATACCATTGAATCCTGCACTGGTTTGTATGCTTATATATTTAAATCTTATGTGACTATTTCATTACTTAAAAAAAAAAAAAAAAAAACTTTAATCAGGACACATATTTTGTGTTGCAAACTTTGAACCCTTTCTATCTTGGGCTTCTTCCATTAATAACCTTACATGAACTCAGTGCCTACAAACATAAACTACCGTTTCCTCATCAGGGGGTGCAAATTTTTTTTTTTTTCCTTTCCCTGACTGTACAAGGACGAACTACACACTCTGTTAGCCTTGGCTTGTAGCAGAAATTACTTGTAAACAAATAAAAGGCGTTTAAATAGAATACAAGAGAAGCTAATGTAAGCTTTATGAACTACTCCTTCCTTTCAAGTAATCCTCTAGGGAAGGTCTGCTGCTTTGCTCCATGTTCCTAAAAAATGTGGAATTATCATTCATCCACACATTTCTCCCTCGTTATTTTCAGTATCTAATATAAGAAAGAGTAAATCAATAAATTATAAATTTGATAGGAATGAACCTTAGAATAGAAAAAAGTGGCAATTGTTATTAGAATTTCAACACTAAGCAATTTACTAGCATATTCTCACATTATAGACCTTACAAATAAATAAATAGAAACTTATTTTTATTAGCAAACTGGAATATGAAAAGATTGTTTCCTTCCCGGAATTAGAACTCAATAGAACATGCATAAATCTATATGATTTATAAGACTATATAATGCCAATCATCTTAAAAGAGAATAGTAAATACATGTTATTGAATATTTAGAAAGAATAAGCAAAGCTTGAACATATCAAGAATACAAATGGGACATATCAACAAATTAGGAATATGTATTGTCCATCTGAATATACTATAAAAGCTTTAGAAGAGACAATTATCTGGAAATGGCTATGACACAATCCAACTATCATAGATCAAAGCATAGTTCCACGACATTTCAACATTTCAATTGCTTGTATCATTTACAAGTCATTGGCCTCAAATAGTGAAGACACATACTATAGAATTACATTCCAACATCAAGAGTAACAGACCAACTCATCAAATTCTTTGACAGATATGTTATAGACTTATAATTGACATTACAAATACAATTATAGCCAGGTAAAGTTGAACGCCACATGAATGAAAGTGAGTTCAATTCATAAAATTTCATGTCATTTTAACCAAAATGAGTCAGAGGACTGATAACATTTCCACCTATTGAGAAGTAAAAAAGAATAGCAACCTTAACTCCAATAGATGGAGACTTCTTGGGAATTCTTGGACGCTTCGGAAATGGAATGACATGTAAAGAAAAATGGGAGCCCTTTAACTCCCTAATTTTTCTCACTTGTAAATTTTTAATTTTTAAAATGGAGAGAAAAAGAAAAATCAAACACAACTGAAATACGGGAAGAAAAAATAGAACCAACCAAATCAAACCCAGATCTAAAGTGTTAAAAACCACATAAAACCCACAAATCAAACAATTTCAAACCAACCAACCAACCAAATCCATCCATAGAACCAAATCCACCCAAACAAATCAAATAAAACTAACCAAATCCATCCAATCAATACAAATAATCAATTCTCAACCCAAATAAGAGTGTGAACAACCATAAATCGAAAACCCATAAATCTAAGAGAGAGAAAAATAGAAAGATAGAATTTTACCCGCACACAGAGATGATTGTAGGAAGAGAAACGCAGATCGACCTTTTCTGCCTAAGAGAAGCGTAAGAAACTGAGAGAGAGATAGCTTGAAGAGAGACTTCACAAAGAAATCTGTCAGAGTGAGAGAGCTTCAAGCCTTGAAGAGAGAGAACACTTGGTGCAGCTGAGGAGATGTGGGTAATGTTATAAACGAGATATCTTACTCCCGTTCTTTTTAAGTGAAAAGAGTTCTCCGTGTTTTCAAAGAGTGTGTATTCTTGTTTCCGAAAACTCCCAGAACACCTTTTTATTGTTCTCCAAAAACCATCACTATCAGTTTTCAGTTTTTCAAAAACTGTTTTCACAAAATAGATCCAAGCAGAAGTAAAATATTGTTTTCTGTTTTTTGTCACTCTGAAAACAAAAAACTGTTTTCTTAGATCCAATCCAAGCAGGGCCTTAGTATTTCAATTATATACCGTATATATTTTTTATATGGTATACATTTTATGTTAGGGTATTTACCATTTCTATTTTTAACTTTTTACGAATTGGCTGGAATTTACCATTTCTATTTTTAACTTTTTACGAATTGACTGGAACAGGTTCATTGTTCCACCGGAGAGGATTTTTGTCCATTCTCTCCCGGAATAATCAGAATTACATTATGGGTATTGAATGTTCTTATGTAGAGGTATTTCTGCTTATTGCATATCGGCACGCGATATGCATGTGACGTATATTGATGAGTTCACATTTTATACAGTTTTTATTCCTAAATTTATATTAGTTAGTATTTTATTTTTATTTATTTTAATTAATTAATTTATTTTTATATTTATTTGTATTATTTGTAATGTCCACCAAAAAGGGAAAATAGATAAATCATAAAAATAAATTGGTGGACAATATGAAGTTGGCTACATTGATACAAAAGAGTATATATATTTTCAGTCAATATGTAATACAAGGAGTAGCTCAGCCATAGTTCAATAAGGGTTTCGACCACCACCACAGCCAGCTATGACATCTCTGGGAGCTCCATCTAGTGCACTAACACAGCAATCTGGTTATCACGCCGGCAGTTCTCAGGGCAGAGGACCCAGGGCCGGGTGAGTGCAGTTACTCTGGTGACTACTCCTGCCGAGCCATCATCTATCCCGTCAGTTGTCAGGAGTAAGTTTCTTGCGTCCCATTCATGAGCTAAGGTGTTGATTTCCGGTGCATCATACTCATTCATTGCATCATGATTTGTACATGCATTGGGGTTTGAGGTTAGTCGGTTGGATAGTCCTGTTTATGTTGACACTCCAGTCGGGGGTTCAGTTATTCTTAATCTGATTTGTCATGGTTATACCATTGTGATTGCGGGACAGACATTTGATTTCGATCTCATTCTTCTCGAGATGATTGGTTTTGACATCATTCTTAGTATGGATTGGTTGGCATCTTTTCTGACAGTCATTGATTATTTCAGGGGCAGCGTATCTGCTTGTACTCCGGAAGAAGATGTTTTGTGGGAGATCGGGGCGATTCCCTTCTTTCTTCATTTTTTCTTTCCCTAGTTAGTACTCACACACACTTGTCTCTTCTGAGACTTGAACCCTGACCTCTCTTTAGGAAGTAAGAGGTTGATACCGTTAGGCCACTGGCCCGTTGGTCTTCTTTCTTCATTTTATGGCATTAGAGGTCATAATCGACGTGATTTCCTTTTGGCTAGTCTCTTAGTCGATGACGATGATGAGTTTTACTAGGACATTTATTCGATGGTTGTGTGTGATTTTCTGGATGTTTTTCTGAAAGATTTGACGGAGTTACTTTCACATAGAGAAGTGAAATTTGCTATTGATCTTATGCCTGGTGCAATGCCCATTTCTATGGCACCATATCGTATGGCACTGGTAGAGTTGGAAGAGTTAAAGAAGCAGTTGAATGATTTGAAGGCAAAATGTTTTATTCGACCTAGTGCCTCGCCATGGGGAGCACCAGTCTTATTTGCAAAGAAGAATGATGGTTATTTGAGGTTGTGCATTGATTACCAGAAATTAAATCATGCCACCATCAAGAACAAGTATCTGTTGCCTAGGATTAACTACTTATTCGATCAATTAAAAGGCACTTGTTGTTTTACAAGGATCAATTTGAGTTTCGGTTACTATCAATTGAGGATTGAGGAGGAGGATATTTCGAAGACAGCTTTTCGTACACTGTACGATCATTATGAGTTCCTAGTCATGCCATTTGGTTTGACAAACATACTGGCGGCGTTTATGGACTTGATGAATCATGTCTTCCACGCCTATCTTGATAGGTTTGTTGTTGTATTTGTGGACGACATACTTGTGTACTTAGCATCAAAGGAGGAGCATGAGATGCACTTAAGGACGGTACTACAGATTTTGAAGGAGCATCGATTGTATGCTAAATATAAGAAATGTGAGTTTTGGTTGTCGGAAGTGAAATTTTGGGGACATATTTTCGGAAGAGGAGTTTCAGTTGATCCTTCCAAGATTTAGGCCATTTTGAATTGAGAAAGTCCGAAAAATGTGTTTGAGATTTAGAACTTTCTAGGCTTGGCGGGATATTATCAAAGGTTTGTGTATAATTTTTCTCGCCTAGCCGCTCCTATGATGAGGCTTACCCGAAAGGGTATAAAGTTTGTGTGGAATAAAGCGTGTGAATCCGTTTTTCAAGAGTTGAAACAAGGTTAACCACAACATCAATTTTGGTCATACCCAAGCATGGCTTGGGTTATGTCATTTATTATGACGGTTTGGGGTGTGTCTTGATGCAAAAGGGGAGGGATGTTGCTTATGGGTCTAGACAATTAAAGACTCGCAAGTACAACTACCCCACACATGACTTAGAATTGGCGACGGTTGTTTTTACTTTGAACCGTTTGAGACATTATAAGAGCGACAACATTTTTAGCTTTATACCAGGAACTTCTAATCCATTTTTAATCCAACTCAACAATTTAGTAATAGAAATAAACTTTTTCTAGACCAAAAACTTATCCAAGAAAATTTATGGTTTAATTGAAGCAATTCCCATAAAACCCTCATTAGAAATCTCAATGTTTTATATGAATATTTTGTTGAGTTAAACTCTTCTTATTCCAAACCAACAATTTCATCAAACTCTTATTTCTCATTTTAGAAAATTAAATTTAGCTTATCAAAAGGCTACGGCTAAATCCATAGTAGAACTAACCAATGAAAATCCAGAGCTTTAAAAAAATCAATTTTTGCAAGTCCAAAAGAAGTATGCAAAATTACTACCCTTCTTCTCTCCTGAATTCAAAGAAATCCTCAGACAATAAGTTGAACTTTTTCCCAATGATATCAAAGATCACATCCTTGAAGAAATAAAGTCTGATGGAATCAATGAATGTGTTGCAATTCAAATTCACTTAAGAAACAATAGTCCACCCAAAGGAGCTAGTTATCACTATTTTTCTCTAGATTTTGTTCATCGAAGAGATAGTGAAACAATTGTGTTGGCACAAATTCACACCTCTTACTATTTTGATGATTACAAGCAAAGAAGAAAAATGCATTTAACCTGTTTATATTGAGATGCAGCAACAGGAACATCATCGAGCACAAGGCATGGAAAACATTGGAATGGGAATCACAGAAGAGAGCCATTAATCTCATCAACAGGGGTAGTATAGAATGGTGAGAGTTATATTTTATGTAAGGTAAGTTAGTTCATAGCATCTGGTTTAATTATCAACTCATATTCATCTTACATCTCATCATATCATATGAACACAAAGCATATATCACTTAATCTAACCGATCAGATGGCAAATGTAACCGATAATATGACTTAAAAATGACAAAATTTATTACTGACCAAATGACCGAACAAATCATCATGTGATCGGTCAGAAGCAATTATCAAACCGATCAGATCAGATTCCTATTGCTAAGATGAAAAGAACAAGATGACAATCTTCTATTTTTTATGTAACCGATCACTTCAGTTATGTAACCGATAAGATCAAACCGAGTGATCGCTCAAATCATCTCATATTATCGATAGGTTGATGAAAACAATAAACTCACTATTTTATAACATGTATCACGTAACCGATTAGAATAATTAAGTGATCGATCAGATGATTCAAGTATCCGATCAGATGGATAAATTTTGGCAAGCGCTGTGAAATAGGATCTGAACCTATCGATTACATTTACAATATAACCGATTCGATGCTCCAACAGTCCAAACTCATACAACATATATCTGATCACTTTAGATCAAGTGATTGCACAAATGACTCATGTGACCAAACAGAAGGGCAATAAGTCAAAATTATTTCAAACTCTTATCTTATGCCATCTATCATCTATATAAACACATCAAAAGGTTTTCATAAAATATATTTGTTATACAAAGAGAGAAATCCTTCTGATATAAAAGAAACCTACAAGTTTAGTCATTGTCTCATTCATTTCATTGAGCTTTAAACATTTTGCTATCTTTTAAATATGCTATAGGCTTGTGAGAATTGATATGCGTATCATATTCTAAGAGTTTCTTTGTTATTCAATCTTACCTTTCAAATATTGTTGTAAAGGTTGGTTTAACCCAGAAGAAGTTTAAGAGATGCTTGTTCTCTTAGCAAGAAGATTTAGAAGCAGTGTGTTTCTTGTACCGATTTTCTCTCCACCCTTAAGGAGGTGCCATATTGGGTTTTGGGAAGTCTCAGGAGGGATCTTGAGCCGAGGAGTAGGAGTTTCCAAACCTCGCTAAATCGTTGTGTTATGTGTTTGCTTCTCTCTCTCTTTACTTTGCTTTATGTTTAAGTTCATTTGATCTCTCCTTGTTTATTTTGTGTTATCTGAAATATTAATTGATAAGCATCTTTAAATTTTCCAATTAATTGGTATCGTTCTAGGTAAACTCTATTCACCCCCCTAGAGTCATAAACTGGGTAACAAATTGTATTACTTGACATAACTTTACACCAATTTATTCCTTTTGAAGTCATGAGAAGAACCAACTTTTTAACCACCAATACTCATGCTAGTAAACTTCTCGAATTAGGAATGGTTAACAACATCATCATCCTAAGAGATATCCCATTATAGGTATTAGAAGTATTTAACTTTCCTGATCGCCTAAATTGAGCCATTATTTTTTAACAAAACAATTGGTACCAAAGATATATGCCAGAAAGTCCAATACTTCTCCAGATCCATAGTACACCTCCAGAATGGGTAAAAAATTGTTCAGTCGTACTTGGCCAGCATCAAATTTACATAAATTTCGAGCCTATTGAAGTCCACAATCAATTACATCACACACCATACCTTAATGACTTCAG